AAAAAAGGCTGAATCAACAAACATGTAGCAACATGCCCAGGAACTTCTCCAGTGACCCAGGAAGTGGAGGCTTCCTGATTTTGTCACAAGACATTGTCCTTTTCTGGACATAGATCACAAACATAGAGATCTTTTCTGGAACTTCCAAGGTTTCTGGAGTATGCGCACTGGGAGTATTACGCAGTTATCTCACCCGACTTCTGATGGGCAGTGTATCTCCAAACTGACCATACCCACAGGGACAAGTCATTATTGACTATGAACAAACATTGCCAGTGACATCACCCATGTCCTGAAACCCTGACCAACAGCATGCTCTTGAGTGTTCTCATGATCTTGGCAGAAAATATTGTTGGAAGGGTGGTTGCTGCTGGACATGATTTTTTTTAATAATGGGAGAAGAATGCAACATGGGAAGGGATAAATACATAGGTTTCTTTTCTAGCTAAAGGCATTTAAAAGTAAACTTGGAAAGTCGGGTCAATTTCTTCAAAGCACAGAGGTCAAACCCTGCTACCATAAATACCACCGTCAGCCTAAGAATTCGATTTCAAAGTCCCACTTGGCACCGCACTCATTTCACATAACAGCACATTTCGGTGCAATGACAGACGGATGCGATCCCAGGAGTGTCGTGAGTGTTCGGATGCTTGTGGCATGCCCGTTACTCTGCGCTGGGAGGTCACTGACTGTTACATGTACAAATTAGAAGGGTTGTTGAGAAAGAATGAATGTGCAAAATGCTCCCCAGTCAAATCCTGAAGAATAATCATCTTGAAGAGTGTTGGGAACCGGGAGTGCGGAATTCCTTTGAGGAACTTCACCAAGAGCAGCTGTGGACCTTTGCTGGCCGGCTTCAGCCTGGGTCGGCGGCAGGGACGCGCTGAGCATCAGCACGACACACAGGTGATTAGCAACTGAGTCAGTTTCGGCTCTCCCATGCTGGCCTAGGTCTGATGACCGCACAGTGTGGCTGCTGAATGCTGTCACCGGTTCCACTGGTTCCCGGGAGATGGGACCTCTGAATGTAAGAGCTTTTGAAAACACTCCTGGGAAACCAAAGTGCTGTCTTGTTTGTATCAGTGGAGTCGCACAGTATAGATGCTCCAAAGAACAAACCAGTAGCTTTCGTTGATTGCTCACAAGAAACTTCTGGGCGGCCTATTGGTTTTAAGTTTATCAAAAGATATCTGTGTTGGGGACCAAACCGATAGATGTATACAGTTTTTATATTCTTAACTAGAAGATAAGATTTCATTAAGTACTTAAAGTGTATACTAAAGGACAAAGGGCATTTTGTTCTGCCTTTTTTTACCTGTAAATTTTACTCTCCCAATTTTCTGTGACTGGCTGCTATGATACTCATAAGCCCAAATCAACAGAGGTGGCCACCAGCCACAGACCAAACGTGAAGAAACCAACCCACCTAAAGCATAGCCTGGGATGTGCCACCCGCTCAGAGCATTAGGCTGCTGCCATCTGCAGGGGCTACGAACTTAGCCTGGCCACTAGTCATAACCTCGTCTCTCCAGTTTGTTTAATAGACTTAAAATTAGGGCTACTGTCTGCCCTCTGAGATCTTATTATTGAAACCTGAGTGCAAAATCAGTCTTCAGAGGTTAAAGAGGGGGTTTTTAAATCAAAGTATGGTTGATAGGTTTGACGTTTAGGAAAAAACCTTTTTTAAAAGGCATCATTAAAACAGCTTGATTACATATCTTATGAAAAGGCCGTATTTAGCCTCAACCCTGTACGGGAGGACAGCATGAATTGAGGTTTGAACTGGCTTGGGTTCTGGACTTCCTCCTCCTGTTAAATAGGTTTGAGAGTGCTTGCTAATAAATTTAGCTTTATTGCATTCCACCACAGTGACAATGACACGAAGCAGCAGAGAGTGATGCAGTAACCGTGGCGCGTAAGGCCTTCCTCCTGGGGGAGCTGTGTGTGCCTGTGTGACACAGGGGCACAGGGTGAGGACGGGCAGCAGCGGCCACCGGGAGCCCCCGTGCTCAGTCTGATGCACGCGCAGACTGTCCGCTCAGATGTGTGAAAACAAGACAAGTCAGAGGCGTAAGAACAAACAAGTCTCCACGCTCAGTGTGCTATCTTTGGAATTCTTCATTTCATTAAGATTTTCACAAAATACAAAGCTCAGACATCATTGTCTACGTCCACCACAAAACAGAATCAAGTAAGTGGTTAGCACACAAACATAGTGATCTTTTTCATTTTTAAAAATATAAATAACAACGTTCAAGGTTTTACAGTTTTCTTCTCTGTGTATGTGTGTGTCTTTAAGGCTTTACGTTGCAGGCCCCTCATTAATGCCATCGTACCCTGGCGTCAGGAAACACTGCCCACCAGCAAGGAAGGCCACTGTGGACACATTCCCGAGGGTGACGCTGCTCTGCGCTGCCTCAGCCTGTTAAAAACTAAATAATCAAACACCCTCCAGCCAGGTCTCGGAGTTTCATTAGCTGTCTTGCCACTGCTCAGTACTAACAGACGGGCGAGTGGCCAGCAGCGCTCAAGCTCTCAGAGCCGTCGGGAAGGGCAAGAAGGGAGGAGGTTTCCTCCTGGAGAGAACGCTTTTCCTTTATCGGGAAGAAGCCCGACAAGCCACACAGTTTAGATGGCGGTTCGTACCGAACACGGTTCAGACTGAACGGTGTTGAGGAGTGTGATCTTTCGGTCGGGTACCTGAGAGGAGGCTAAAGCGGAGAGGTCGGGGCTGGAAAAGTGCTGCTCAAGGTACACCCCGCCGCGGGAGCGGTCTCGCTCGTGAGGTCTGGGGGCAGGGCCAGGGCCCCCGCCTTGGGGACGAAGTCGGAGGGGAGGCTCTCCAGCAGACACCTGACCTGCTCCCGGCCCAGCCGGATCTTGTCGTCCAGCTTCCGCTGCTCGATGAGGAGCGTGGACTTCATCTTCACGAAATGCTGGTAATCCTGGAGCTGCTCCCGCGACAGGTAGTTGGCCAGGATGTCCAGCACCACGCGCTCCCTGCGGTCCAGGTTCTCCTTGAGCTCCCGGGCGTCCTCGTGCTGCCCAGCCAGGACCTTCCTCTTCTCGTTGAGGGAGCTCTGCCAGGCAAGACGGACAGGTCAGCAGGGGCCCGGGACAGAAGAAAGGAAGGAAGGAGCCAGACTCCCTGCAAGGAAACCTGACAGGCCCGTGAGACCCCTGCGTTTCTATTTCAGCTGTCACTCTAAAGTCGAGTTTTTGAGAAATCAGCTCATTACCCTTACGTTGCATATTATATTGTTCTCTAACGTGTAAAGTCACGTGGTAGCCTCAGTGGAGGGGGGTTACATGAAATTGGGGTGATGACTTCAGC